CCTAAACCCCTAAACCCCTAAACCCCTAAACCCTAAACCCTAAACCCCTAAACCCCTAAACCCTAAACCCTAAACCCCTTAACCCCCTAAACCCCTAAACCCTAAACCCTAAACCCCTTAACCCCTAACCCCTTAAACCCCTAAACCCCTAAACCCTAAACCCTAAACCCATATTGAAATCAACTAAGCAAGGCCGGGGCTACATGCAGCTCCAAAAGGCCTGGGCTTTGCTTGGCAGCCGAGACGCCCGGCCCGGACCAACATAGGGAGTTTCGGAGTTGGCGATGAGGGTTTAGGGTCTTTTGAGGGGGTTTTGGGGTTGAGGAATGTTGGGGTTGGGGGTTTAAGGTTTAGGTTTTCTGCGGGGGTTTAGGAGTTTGGGAATCGCTGATCGCTTATCGTTCTGGGCATCATATGGTCCCCGGCCTTGGCACCAAAGTAAATGGAGCGTAGGTTAGCTGAGGACGTAGTTAGGAATGTTGGCTGAGCAGGGTTGCCAATGCTAAACCCTCAACCCTTAACCTTTTACAGGACAGTGTTGTTTGGCGGTCTTGAACTCGCTATAGCTTCACTTATCAGCGGACCATATGCCTCGGCTGGATTGTCCGAGTGTGGGCTCCGAAACCCTAAACCTAAAGGTTTAGGCCTGAGGGATTCAGGACTCGCCTAAGTATGTCAGTTGGAAATTGGAGGACCCTGCGACTTTTTGTTGGTCAGCATGTCGCTTGCTGCGTGACATTCAGGGTTTTCAAGTAGGAAAACCATTTCTGAAAATATATAGTACTGCTGGGTCTTTTGGATTGTTAACGATCTATTTTTATAAATTCCAGATGTTCCATTGAGTGCGAAATTAGAGACTGACCTGTTTTTTTGAGGATTTACCTCTTATTGTCTATGCGCACCGGAGTTTGTATGAAGCTTTGATTTTTGACTCCCGGTCCACAGCGATCAGGAGCGGGCGACCTTGGTTCATCACTTACTTGCGGATGGCATCCAACGCCACTTCGGGCAGCAGTTGCTAAAACCTGTGATCTCGTCCAGCTGCCTTTAGTTCAATCCCTAAGCAGTACCTCCTGATGCTGCGAGGGATCCCGAGTAGCAGCATCCCGTTGAGAGAACCTTATGCTCCATCTGATCTGTGGGGTGCACAACGAGGTCAGGTTGGAAGCCCGAGGCAAATGGGGTAAAGAAGGTCACAAGCCCTCGTTAGGTGAGCTGCGGAATTGGGCAGTTCGCCGTCATTCTTTCCTGGATGGTTAGTGTAGAGCACGACCATCCGGGGTTCCCCGGTCAAAGGCATGGTAGTACGGAATCAAAAAGGGTTCTCAGACACGGATGTAGACCGAGTATGAGTCCATTGGTCCATCACAGCACTGCCACCACGACTACCACGATGATCATCGTTTCCATCGCACTACGACCCATCGAATCAGCAGCAGGACTGGCATGACTATTTCTGCTTGTCAGCATCATACTTTTCAACATTGCTGTTCGTGGTACGATTTAACCCCGAACAAACCCTAAGCCCAAGGGCCCCAACCCCGAATCCCTAAATTCAAAGCCGTAAACCCCACAAACCCTAAAACCCAGGACTTCCTCAGTGTTCTTCTGCTGAGGTCGAGCGGTCATCCTTGAGTTCCTGCCAGATTGCGTGCAGAAATCAAAAACTAACGCTGCTGCCGCCTGGTCGGCGAGTTTAGGGGTTGGGCTGTGGGCTTGTGCGCAGATTTGTGTGAGACATAGCCAGCCACATCGCCCAACCAGGATGACACTTTATGCAATGCGTCGTGCAATGTTGCAAGACTGTGTGCGATGCGAATCGTATATGGACACCAGGAACGACAACAGGTCGGAATATTCATAGCATTGGCTGCATTTGCAGTACTCTGGTGCGACTCGCGTTGTCATTATAGTCGTATGCGTGCCTGCAGGACTGTGTAGGACAATTTCAGTACCGGTATGTATGTAACATTGTGTAACCAGACTAGAGACTGGCCGTACTCGTGACATTGCATAGAAGGGTAGGCACCTGTTATTCAGTAGGTTTTCAGGTAATCAGTAATGGCAGCAAGACTAACCATGACACAAGGTATAGCAGTGGTAGTATGCAAAAGCCTTCGTACACCAAACCCTAGGCTCTCAACCCTAAAATCCTAAACCGGTACTAAGTAGGAGGCAAAAACCGGTACTGGTAGCACGGGAGCTGAGGTTGGGCTCACACGGCTTTTCGAGGTCGCGTGGCAGAAAAAGGAGGGAGAGGGTTGGTTTAGGTAGCTTTGGCAGGGGCACTTGCAGAGCTTCTGCGCTTTGCGTAAGCCTTCGTAACTATGGAGGAATCTCAGATTCTGGCTGTCACTTAATTGGATAAATGCAGTCTGATGTAGCACTACAGTCAAAGACCCAGCGCAGTTCTTCTGCGGGCTTTGGGTCTGTGGCTCCCAGGCTAATTTGAGAGTTTGTCAGAAGCTTCCGTTCGACTAGAGAGTCCCTGACACACTCAGTGAAATACTACTTACAGCCCATATATGGTTGTAATCCACTATACTCCGAACTATTGTTCAAATCATTCGGGTTGTTAGGACCCAAAACTACTTACCAAGCCCCCTCACCCCCAAGATTGAAGCCTGAGCCCTTCGAAGCCGTGTCCCCGGCTCCCTGAACCTCGAGCTGCAGTCCTTAAACTAAACTAAATTCTGTAGCCTGGCACCTTATAAACCCTGCGCCCCCAAACCCCGAACCCTCCGAACCCCAAGACCTAAACCAAGCCCCGTTGTAGCTTCGTCCGAGCCGAGCGGGAGGCAAAAAAACAGCGCCCAACCTGAGGTCATGGTGGATCTGCTGGACAATCTCTCGACGGTGCTCCACCAGTCGGCCGAGAAGGTGGTCCTCGTAGACTTGTCCGACCTGAGAAACTTCATTGAGGCCCGGGGGGTGGGGGGGATCAAGCCGAGGACTTGGTCTGTGTCGCTTCCGGAGTACTGTGGTGGTTCCTGCCTTGCCGTCAAGGTGCATCTCATTTCAGAGATGCGAAACGCCTAGAACTGAATGGTAGCATCCACATACAGAACCAGGGTTCCTGAGCCAGGATCCTATATTCAACCTAAACCCTCGGCCCTTCAGGTGTGGGGCAAGAGCCGCAACATTGAGTGTTTCTGAAATCAGGGATTTTGCGCATGGCCTGTGGAAGACTGATTTCAGGTCTCGCTATCCATCCCCAGACCCTAAATCCGAATCTCTGCCAGGTGGTTCAAAACTCCTTCGTCTTCTCCACGTGTATCTCCCGCTGCAAGCTGCGCCGTTCTGAAGAGAGGGTGTCAGGCCAGATCCCTGCAAGGATTCGAATCAACAGGAGCAGCTTGAGTTGTTAACGGTCAGGGTACTCAAATGAAAAGTGTAATAATCTTAGAAATAGAAATAAAAGTTCAGGGTTTCAGATGAGGGCATGTGCACTGCAGCCCTTCCTCAAGGAGACTAGGATACATGGTTTGGGTTTGTCAAACAGGTGGTTGGGTCAGTGAGTTCCAGGGTTCCGGCAGTTTGGGGCTAACAGCTCGTCGGTCTATGCTGTAGACCTTTGTTCGAAGAGTGCATATTTCTGATGCTAAGTAAGCACACCGGTCGAAGCCGTCAGAACCAGAGAGAACCAAAGGGGGGTCAGCAGTGTTCATTTTTTCCCTGTTAAATGTGCCTTGTGCCTGTTTGGCGTTGTCTGATCTTTGCTGTTATTCTGCTTGTCGCCTGATGCCTTTATAGTTGGAGCTACGGCAATAGACGAGGCCCTCAAGTCGCCCCGAAGATGAAACCCCACAGCGAAGAAGGCACAGAGAAAACCTCAAAGTCGTCCCCAAGAAAGCCCTAGACTCGTCCCGACGATGTCACTCTAAAGCGAGGACGGCACAGAGCAAACCTTCAAGTCACCCCAAAGCACCAATGTCGTCCCGAAAGCGAGGAAGGCCGCAGGGTAAAGCCGAAAAGTCGTAAACCCCAACCCCTTAACACAGCTAACGAGAACATCCTACTGCCGTTCTTGCAATGTGGTTCTCCAAGAGGGTCGAAAAGGTTGTGGATTCTATCCCTAAACCCTAAACCCTAAACCCTAAACCCAACAGCCAGGATGTCGCATTTACAACAAAATAATAAGGTTGTGGAATCTGAGCCTTAGGGGGTAACCGGGTAACCTATCTCGTGGTGCTTTCAGGGATCCCTTTAAGGAGCCCTCAAGTAGGCCCGCGTTCTGACACCAGCCAAGCAGGTTTTTTTCCACCAGGCACAGTGCACAGCTTCAGATTCAGTCCCTCTCCTGGAACCCGTTTGCAGCTCATAGGGCTTGGGGCACAACAGGCTTTCTCAAACTATCCTTAAAACCCCCAGCCCTTCAGCCAGCCCAAAACCATGATGCCGCCTTTGGGCAACTCTGGTCGTCGAGATGCTCACGGGTGATTTGCCAAAGGAGCTGATGCGAGAACGCACGCTATCCCCAAAGCCCGAATAGAGGCAGAGAGGACCAAAGACTGGACTGCGCAAGGTGGGGCATCCACAATAGCCGTAATTTGTAACAGGCTGAACCGAAACTACCAACTCCTTTTATGCTGTGTTGGAGAATCCCCATCGGTTCTACCCTGAGCCACACGGAACAGTTCACCCTGAGAGTGCCGGACCGTTGGCCCTCTTCAATTGTTGTCAGCCTGGGAGATCGCGGTTGAAGCGTTTCGGATGTCATCGGCAGGCCTCACACGGCAGCGCATACAGCTCGAGATGCACCTCGGTTCCACTTTAATCATGATGCTGCATGTGGGTTGGGGGGGGCAAATTTCGGACGAACCGGACTGAATGCTCGGGCCTTCGGTTGTGGTGAGTGTGCTGTTCATGATGCAAGTGATGAAGATGATGATGATGATGATGATGATGATGATGATGATGAACATGTTGATCTTTACCGCGAGGTAAAGTCGGAAACAGCTTCAGTCTTCAAATTGCCTGGAAGGCCGGCGGTTGGCTATTGTTTTTCTACAGTCTTACGAAAAGACCGACGAACCAGACTACGCAGTAACCGAGTTACCGCTATTCTACTGAAAGCTGTTTGCTGATGCCTGCCTTTGCCCTGATCTTTTCAAAACGCACATTGAAAGAGGCCCTCACGGTGCTGTATGTGTATGTGTGTGTTGAACCAATACATGGTGAATCGACGAAACTGTTATGTCCAGTCGGTTTTGTCTTACGGCTCTTCTACGTCGAATATATACTTACAGCCAAAACCTTCCCAGTACGGCAGAACAGTTGTTGATATGGATTTCGCAGTTGATGTTAACAACTCTTCTTCTCGAGGCAGTCTCGGAACCAGAGTCTCAGTTGCTTTGCTTGAAAGAACGAGGCTAACTTGCATGGGGTTTAAGGGGCAAACACCAACAAGCGATGCGAAAGGCAGGAAGAGTCTCAACCGCAGCCGAGGACCAGTGGCAACTGGAGCAGAACAAACGAGGCCGCACTCGCGGGTGAAGGTTTGCATGGTATGCTGGTTCTCTTCAATCGTCGGAGGGCTTCTGGTTAGTTAAGGCTACTTAGTGTGTCTTGCGGCTACGATGGTCACTGCGGCCGGGAGTTTGAATATCATGGCACCGATAGTGCTCTGCCTCAGCTCATCTGACTATGCGATGCTAGAGTAACTTGCTGAAACATGGCGGTTTACGGGTGTGGGTAGTAATGGCCCAGAAATAACATTAGTCAGTAGCCTCACGCTGTCCGAATGATGTAGTCAATGCCACTCGGGAAAGGAACAGTATCAGCAATAGTGTCACCTCAACGTTAGCAGTAGCAAGCTTAATGATCGAATGGCCACCTCAAAGCTACGTTAGTACAGCGAACTGTAATATGTCCCTAGTCATAATGCTCCGAAGAACCCTATATGAAGCTGTAAACTCCAAGTTTCAATCCCCATAGAGCCTCTATCTTCTCCCCCCCTCCCCTGCTCCCAGGCAGACTCTGATTTGTCGAACCTGGCTTATCGGGTCCGAGATGTCCTGCAAAAGCAGCAGCTCATTTTGTCGCAGCTGGAAGCTTCCGCAATGCTGGAAGTGTGATATAGGGGCCTGAGCCACAATGACCTGTACCCTTCCTCAGGATGCCGTAATACGAACTTACATAAACATACTCTATAACATACCCTCTTAAACTCCTGTTCTAAATATTGAGGCCCTTATCTTAGCCGCAAGCGCAGCGTCAAAAGCTTCGGCCAGTGCAGTTGGAGCAACATTGCGGTTAAACCTGGCAAAGGTGGCGCCATCCCAAGCTGCAAACGGCAAAAGGGCCTTGAGATCCCTATTCCATCATAGTATTCGTGCTAGGCTCCAAAACCCTACTCTTGCATAGCGAGACCTTTCAGGATGGCACGGCAGAGAGAAAGAGAGAGAGAGAGAGAGAAAAACAAATCCTAAAGAAGAAGAAAAAGAAAACCCTAATATAGAAGCCTAAGTAATTACCAATATTATTCCTTAGAGGGGTTCCTTATTCTAATTATACTAGAATGAACCCCTGGTCCTAGGCAGGCGGGAGGCAAACAAAAACCCAAAACCTTATTCAAACTATTATGGCCCCTGCATTAGTCTAGCTTCTCAGGCCGTCTTTGGGGCTCGGGGGTCTATAGGGCTTCCTCAGTTACTGGGTCGCGGATGGTGACCCACCCCCATGACAGGGATATAGCTTAGGGTTTACGGTTTAGGGTTCCCCGGCCGACTTCCCAAGCCCGAAAGCACAACGGTTGCAAGTTATAGAGTCTGGAGTTCAGGAGAAGAAAGGGCTCCGGAGGAGGCAGTAGGCTTGTCTCCAGACAGGACCGGGGAATTCCATAATGGCCCGAACACATGAACCCAATCAAGCTGTAACACAGCGGCCTGGGTAATTAGAACCGAGTTTGAGGTTATGTTTAGGTATGTTAAGAGCGGCTATCAGGGAATATTATTATTATTGCTCATTATCGGGGGGTTGTAGAGTATCGTCTTTCCGTCATCGCGAGACATCGATCCTCCCAACAACAGAAATCGCTCACAACGACACCGGCACAGGATCAAGCTTTGGTTTCACCCTGTGGAATGCTGGGCAGCTGAGTTTGGGATTTATGGCCTGAGACCAGATATCCGACATCTCCCGAGTTGGGGGACTTGGGCTGAATCCGGCTTTCCTCTCCACTCGGAATATCCAGCCTCGTAGTGCATGGTGAGTTGAGGTATGTTAGTTGGGCACAATGGTCGCAGTTTTCCGAGCTTATCCGAGCTTGCAGGTTGGAGATTTCATTTCGGTCGTGTTCGGCCATTCAACTGAAACCGACCGCAATAGAGACATTTGGAGCCTCACCTGCCCAGATTCTCAGAGGCCTGGACCAAAAACCTTTCGGCGAATAGTCGCAGAATTTTGTGCCTTTCGCGCGGGATGTAGCACGCCAAGCCTGAAGAGATTCACTTGTTTGCGCAGGGGCTTAGGTGTCTCTCCGATCTTTAGCCAAAACTTGATCCTCAACCTTGTAGGGTTTATAGGGTATAGACCTTGTTTCGGGAAACCTAAATCCATCTTAACCCGGAATCCTAGACTTGCTGGAGTGCCACGGAACAGATGCACGGGCGCACGTGCACAGCAGAGAGGGGCCGTGCCCTGACCGATGGCGACCCTGCGGTTGGGGGAGGAGCCATATAAAGGGGCTTAGGGTTTAGGGTTGAATACTTACTAATAATACCCCTTTGAGTCCCGCATATCATTTTTATCATAACATACCACGGCTGTAAGTCCCCGGTGGATAGGGTGAGGCGACACAGCGATGCAAGCGAACGGCAAACCAGCCTTTACAGCCCCGAACCCCTTAAGCCCTAAACATCCTGCAACGGTTTAGGGCGTTTAGGGTTTAGGGTAGTTTAGGGTTTAGGGTTAAGGGCATTTAGGGCGTTTAGGGCTTAGGGTAGCCCCCAGCCCCCAACCCTGATCTTCCGACCCTGATCGGCCGCTACATCCTGCAACGAAATGTTCCGTGGTGTTGGCGCAAGCAAAGCAACTTCAACTGTTCTCGCTGGCAGTGGCCCCCCCAAAATTCCCAAAATCTACAGACTCCGCGAGTATCATATATGCGTTGCTGTTCTTGAGGTCGTTAAGGAGTGAGAAACTTCCTGAGCCGTTGAATACTCATTTAAGGTTGCCTGTCCTATGTTTCTGTGATCGTGCTAGCAAGCGTGGAATGGCGGTATGTCATTGTGAATGCTTTGGGTTTTGGTTCAGGGCTGTCTGCATTGTTAGCACTGCGTAGGAGAATGAGACTTAAACCCCAAGGTTAGGCGAGCAAGCTTCGGTTGGCAATGCATGGGTCGGCTGAAGAACCGGGCAGCAGGGACAGAAGATATTCAACTGCAAGTATGATGACCGTGCGAGGTGAGGGAGGTCATGACATAAAGTTGGAGATGAGTCTGAGATGATCCTATCATGTGGAGGAAGAGACGAGGAGGAGGAAGAGGAGGAGGAGGAGGAGGATAGGAGCAGTCATGCTACTGTTGTTGGTGTTTATGGTAGCTGTAAGCTTTTGCAAGCATCTCAGCTCAGAACTTCTTGTGTAGCACATGAAGGAGTATGTAAAGCAACTCGAGAACTTGCATCTCAAGTCGGTGAACTGAACCTAAACCTCTGAAACCTAGTGAAGTTTTGTGAAGGCTACCTGCTTGAAGGTGCCATCCCCAATATATCTGATAGTGGTAAGATGGCATGAGGCTGGTTCACGCTTTGGACTTCTTTCTTTATGACTGGGATTATGATTTACGGTGCGGGGTAGGCGGCTCGGGATTGCTTACATGTAAGGGGCGGTTCGGAGCCTCTGACCCCAGACATCCAGTATACCTATACAGCACAGCATTTTGAAGCCTGAAGCATTTTGCCGGGGCCCGCCACCCAAAGAGTGGGCCAGCGAAATGGTTGCACAGCGGCATTGGAGTGGTCCTTCACAGGCACAGGGCTGCGACAGACAGAAGTTTTTGGGTTTCGGTTTAATTTCGGGCATAGGTTTTAAGGTTAGTTAGGGAAAAGGGCTTATATTGCAACGATGGAGAACTGATGCCCTTTGTGCGTGCACCTGTGAATGCCTGCACTGATGACCGGACCGCTCAATTCGGGCGCCACTCTGTCCCAAAGGGCGCGAACAGGGAGCCGCCAAGCGTCGGATGAGGATCTCTCACAAACGAAGGTGCAGACATGTAGTTATATGCGCGCGTTTAGATATAAACACATCAGCGAAAACATACATACATGCTACGATACATAATCACAGATGACAGGCAGACGGATAATTAGCCAGGCATGCATGTGCTAGACTGCTTTAGATCGTACGTACCAGTAAGGTGACGTGAGATCTACGGCATACGATCAGAGATTCTGGTCAGTTTCCCTCCGTAAGCAAATGCAAGGCGGCGAAAAGGATGCAGGGTTCAGTGTGTTGGGTTGCAGCACAGATGCACCGATAGATTGGACTTGTTTCTTCCTCCTGGAGTGTGTTGGGTTATCGTGGGGTTCTGCCGGGTTCAGGCAACTAACCTTTACTGAAAATTGCAGCAGTAGTTGGGCCGGAGCCTAAGTCACAGAGAGTTCACCATGGCGCACCACTGGGTACGCAGCAGCAGTGAACATTTTTGCAGTCGTGAGCTCGCTGGCGAAAGGCACTAACCGTTACTAACCTCATATCACTGCTCGCCAGGACCAGCTAGGATTCGGGCAGAACCAAGCTCCTGGGATGCTGGAGTCTGGGCGGAGCTGTCCTTAAATTAGAGATCGGATCCTGCTAGTTACTTTTCGAGCCAAGATGGAACCCCAGACCGAAAAGCAGCTCGGTCTCTCTCTCTCTCTCTCTCTCTCGTGTCCTCTCTTTACGTCTCTTTCTCTCTGTAGACCTACATATGTATACTGTATATATATATATATGTACACACTCATACATAGATTACATACTTACTTACATGTTCAATATGTTGCCAAGTAGGAGCCAAAAAATGTTCTTATGTGCATTCATACGTATATTCATATACCTATCTAGCTAGCTACCACCTACCTACAGTCCAAACTACGCATGACACCTTCGATTTGGCACCGCTGTCCGTGCTTCCAAGCCGACTTGGCTTAAACAACAACATGCTGCATTTTTTGGACGACCCGCCACTCTATATCATGCTGAAGCAGTCTTCATGCAAAAGGAAATGGTGGGTTCCTATTTACCGGAAATGTGGAGTCATGTCCTCAGCACGCTGTCTAGCAATCCTTCCACAAGAGATACTATCAGCACAGAACTCCCGAAAGACAAAGCTGCATGAGCAGAGAATCGGGATGCCCTTTCTTTCGACAGCCTTTGTGAGCCTGATCCTCAGATCTGTTGCGGTTTCTGCTACCTTGTTTGGATCCTAGCCACAAGATCTTGATAAACCAAAAAGGAACTGCGATGGATGCCACAGGTACTAGTAGCCGGGAGTCCATGGAGGGCTTTTTGAGCAATACCTAGGAAGTTTAGTGACGTGCGTTGCCTTGAGTCACTGACAGCTTCGGTGGTGGGCATGTTGAGGCAAGCATGTGACAGATCAGGGGATCAAAGTTCAGATGCAAAGTGACAGTGCCCTGCAAGAACTGAAAGTCCCTAAATCCTAAACCCTGAGCCGACCCCAAACCCTAAACACTACGAGCAGATGCGAGGCTACTCTTGGGTGTTCCTGCCTCCCGTCGTGCACAGTGCTGTTGACCTGGCCGAGCCTTACAGCTGCAAGTCATAACCCTCGATGGGTTTAGGGTTTAGGGTTTATGGTTTAGGGTGTTTGAGATAAGAGGCATGGGAGTTCGGACTTCAAGGGCGGTGCTTCAAAGAGAGGCTTGAGGGCAGCTTTGCCGTATTCGCTTCAGAGAGCAAAGAAACCGGAAACAATGTTCGCAATTGGGGGGGGGGGGGGGGGGGGNNTTGCTGAAAGGTGCACCGGAAACAGGCAGAGATGTCGCACGTCGGGGCTTCAATGGGGGGGTGGTCAAGCACATCTTGAACTCTGGCTGTTCCAGGACGCGAAATTCACTCTCATGCGACCTTGTAAGACTTTGTGAGAACAGGAAGAAGCACGATCTGCCCACTTACCAACATAGTACAGAAAGATGTGTGTATGTATTATATATATATATATGTTTCTTTTTTGAATGTGGCTTCATCAATTACTGTCCCTTCAACCCGTCACAAACCTCATCATTAGGAACTGATCTTCTCGGGTGACATATCGTTTAGACTCACGCCACGGCCACTCAATGAAGGCTTTCGGCCTTGGTCGCCGCAGATGCCGCGAAGGCGCTGGCAACCCTCCGCCATGGGCCTGAGGACGTCCAAGATAGGGTCTTGAAGAATGGGTAACACTGTTCTTCAGGGCTCCACAGCATAAATACGGTGTACTTTAATGCTGTGCTGTACAGTATATAGTATAGGCCGTAGGCCCAAGTGTTTTTTTCCTGCCGCAACCGTCTTCTTGTCGCGCAGTAGCGCTGAGTTTTTATCATTCTCGGGCTGCGAGAACGCCATGACTATACACTTTGGCAGAAGGAACAGTTACTATAGTACCGTGCCTTTCGGCTCCTTACCGCAGTTGATTTCAGTATGTTATACCCTATTCTATTGCCTTCTGCTGAGGGCTTTTGGGCGCGACGGCACAACACTAAACNNCTAAAGCCTAAACCCGCCTTTGCTGCGGCAAGGCCGTACTCCAACATATAGTGTTTCGCAGGGCCGACTTGCGAACCTCATCCGGGCAGACTCCGAGTGTGAGGGCTAAAGCCCTATGAACCCTAAACTCCCTAAACCCTAAAGTCTGCAAGGCCCTAGCATACGCATCTCGGGAGTTCAGGCTTCTATATACACCCTCGGCCAAGACCCCCAGGCCGGATATGAATCTCTTGCAGATGAAATTTCAGCTTAAGTCCTAGAGTTTAGGGTTCAGCTTGAAGCAAAAGCGTTCAAGCTCCGCAACGAGTCCCTGGAAACCTGACAGTGGCAATCGCATCTGCAAGGGTCTTAGACTTCGAGTTTGTTTTTTTGTCGGTGTTGGTATTGCTCCAAGCAGTAGCTGAGCAACGTATGAACAGTAAACCCTCAGTCCGTCCTCGCAGGAGCCAGGGCGATCTCTTCGCGTTCTCGACTGTGAGGCGCGACTGGACTCTCGCACTTCGGGGTCGAAGACTTGACGTGCGGGGCTCTGAAAGGAACTGAGAGGTGCTCCGGGTTTCGAGATGCTCGACTTCGATGCTCGTAGGGTAGTTATTGGTGCTTCAAGCGGCCTATCATGTTGAGGACTTGCAGTTTCAGAGATCATCAGAATAAGCCCCGTTTCATGCAAAGGTCCTCATCCTCCGTAGGAAGCTAAGACCATAAGCCCTAGAATCCCAAAGCCTCTAAGCTGTCTTCTCCCAAGCAAATACCCCTGAACCTCAACCCACATCCTAAGCCCTAAACCCCAAACTTTCTAGACCCCAAACCCCAAACTTTCTAGACCCTAAACCCTAAACCCTGAACCCTAACCCGAGCTTCGCCACCCTGAGGCCGAAGCGCCCAAAGCCCCACAGGCCCCACGACACCTAAGTCCAGGAAGGCGCAGGCCAGAGAAAAATAGCTACAAAAGGCCTAAATAGTTACCAATACTATTTTGGAGGTTCCTTTAAAGGGTTCCTTAAAGGGTTTTATAAAGGCTACTGTAAGGGCTTAGGGTACAGAGGCCTAAAGCCTAGATATTCACCAAGACTATTTTTGGGTGATCCTTCTTTTATACTTTTTGTAGAATTATAATAAGGATTCCCCAAAATAGTTTTGGTAATTATATAAAAGTTATAGTAGAATATACCCCAAAACCCTATTCCAATTAAGAGTCCTACATTATATCATATTATATCCTTATAGAGCCCTTATTGTAACCCTTATAGGTTATACTAGAATTTTAATAAGGAGCCCCCCCCCAAAATAGTATAGGTAGTAAGAAAAGGCCCCTACATGAGTTCTCTAAATTAGGATCCGGTTGGTTCCTTAACGGCACAAGGGTTTCCATAAGGGTACTTTTAAGGGTAGTTCTCTAAATTAGGGTCCCTTTTAGTGTCCGTTTTTTGTAAGGGTGCCGAACTGTATTGGGGACCCACAAAGGGACCCTAATTTAGAGAACTACCCAAATGTTCCCCATTGGGACATGAGAGAACTCATGAGAACTCCATTTTACACTGTTCGGCTTTGAGCCTAAAGAATCGAAAGGCCACACCCCAACATCCCCGCAAATCGAAAGAGAACGCCACAAGCTAAAACCTGGAAAGTGGTCACTTGAAGGGCCCACGCTTCGATCCCCGCTGGGCATTGCTACGATGCTCGAAGCAAGACCCTAAAGTCCTAAACCCCAAATTCAGTTGCTTCTCTTGGGATTCAGAGCGGATTGGGTTTATGATTTCTTGAGGGCTCAGGAAGGGGCCGACTAGACTTGCAGCGGAGGCTGTGGAGGTGATAGACATGAATATAGACATGCGGGATCAAGTGAGGCCTCTATCGAAGATTGGAGATGTGGGTTCAGGCTTTGGAGCAAAAGTGCAACATTTGTCACGCCCCACCGAGAATGGCGATATGTACTGATTTAGCACACCTTCGCCTACTGTTGCCATGATTTCAGCACCTGAACAATATTCTTGGAGCGTGGGTGCTTGCCTTTACGCAGGTCAGCAATCGAATCAGCAGGAATGTTGGCATGAAGGCTTGTTGACGCCTGCCATGCCCGTATATAATTTACAACTCAGATAGACACTACTGTGTGCTCGTGTACCACCCGAATAACTTGTGATCAGGACGGCATGACAGAAAAAAGGTGTATGTCTGCAGAATATGTCTTTCGTGCATGGAAATACGCACGCACACAAACCCTGAACCCGAAAACCTATATAAACCTTGCGGCTGGGATAAAAAACCTCAACCCTAAGCCATGATACGACCGTTTCCGCCAATTTCCGAGGAGACCTGGCGAGGCCAGATGTTGTGGAGGGAGGGTTGGAGTGGGCGGGGGAATCACCTGTCAACCCCGGTTCCTTTGAGGGTTCTACAAGGGCTACTATAAGGGTTTAGGATTTTGGGTTTATGATGCTTTGTGTTTGGGTTGCATGTCGACCAGAATCTTGCAACCCAGCAAATAAAACATGTAATTCTGAAGCCCCAGTGCTGTTCGAGGCCATGTCGGTTGCGAAGGCTGTAACCATAGGCGCCCGCCATCACCACGACTGGACACCACAGTCATCATGCCGTACAAGCAGCGGCATCGTCAGAGAAGTGTTTAGAACAGGGATAGTGATCGATAGTGATATATGGTGGCAAGTGGAATCGTGTCTTACTTGATGCTCATGTGTCTTTCCACGCTCACTCTTGCATACTCAGACCAGATGACGGATGCACAAGTTTATATGCGACGTCTGCATATTCCGGTGCAACAACAACAGCCCAGAATCATGTTTCCATGCACGCTCAACCCCAAATGTGACCTACATCACTACAATGTCAAGACATTTGACCTCTGGCAGGCAACACGAAGAAGCCCGAACACTCTTGCTGGACATGCTGCTTGTGATGTTTGAATAAGCTCTCAGCACTCCACTCCATTCAGCTCAGCCCGCAAGAAGGTGCACAGAAGTTGTTGTCCCTACACTCAGCGGAATATGTCCATTTCACTTCAGACTACTCCCCATCATCAAGCTGGGTTAGAGGACCGACTGAAAGGTTGGCACAGGGGCGGCTTTAGGATTTCATAGAGGTGCTTAACGTCTTTGTTTAAGCGTTGCCACGGTGCGTTTCGCAAAACTGTCTTATATAGTGTCCTTGTGGAAGGGAATCCTACTATGCAGGGTTTTTGATGGGCCCTTTTGTCTGAAACGTCAGCCCCAGACTGTACTTGGCAAAGCGATGCAGGGCTTCGCGTAAGGAGGTTCCGCAAGCTCGCCCGCAAGACCTCATAGTTTCTCTGATATGCACAGTAGTTTAGGCCCAAAATAGCATTGCTAATTTTTTTTGGGCGCCTACAGCACATGAAACTGGAACTTCCAAGATCCCAAAACCTCTGAGATGTGGTTCCTTTTTGTCATCGAACGAGCTCTACCCCAAACCCTTAAAAACGCGTAAGCCTCGAACCCTAAACCCTCCATCCTCAAACTAAGAAATTCACAGTTCGATAGAAAAATAGGTGGCGCTGGGCCGGGAGGGGAGTGATCCAAGAAGCCTTTAAAGGAACCCCTGTAAACCCTAAACCCAAAGCACGTATAGGAACCCTTGAAAGGCACGAGTTGCCCATTCAGTCGCTTCGCTCCCTGCGTCGCCTCCGAGGCTGCGATGTGCAACGTTGTGGTTGTGTTCATGTTTTTTTTTGTTTTGTGACTTGTGTTTTAGGGCCTAGAGTGTAGATTTTGTTGTGTTTGAAGGTTTGGGGTTCAAGTGTTCGTGTTGTGTCTCAGGGTTTGGGGGCTAATGCACAAGTCCTGATGCAAAAAACAGTTTTCGTGCTGTAGGATTTTGAAGTTATAGGATGGTCTCAGGATTGTGTCCAGCTCTTTCGTGATTTATGCCTGGTTCCTTGAAAGGTGTTGCAGATGTTGTTTTGCGTTATGGGGTTTGGGGTTTAAGATGCATTCGGTGCTCGTTTCCCATATCTTTGGCTTTAAAGGTGTGTGTTCTCAGTTTTGGGCCTGGAGCTAAGAGTTTGGGGGTTTTGGGGGCGAAGGCTCCAGCGATTCGGATAAAGGCTGCAGGATGGTGCTGGGTGAGTCAGCTTTGTCTGCTGATGGGTAGGGCTGAAGGGTTAACTTCGGTGCGTCACAGTTTAGGGTTTAGGGTGGCCTTAACATCTTCCAACACCGAATACATCAGCACCAAAGCTTACATCTTGCTCTGCCAGGGCACCACATGCACAGACACTGGCTGAGCGGGAGCGGAAGCAAGAGGCAATAGCCACCTTGCTTGCTGTTGCATCCTGTTGTCCTGAATCCTCTTCTTCTTAGACAAACTCGTTCTCAGACTCGTAACCAGTGGTCGCCACCACAACCGTGACCGCCGCAGCGTGGTTCATAAATATTTTGGCCATTCTCATCATCGCTGCCCCTCGTTGTTACCATCTCCGCAGGCTGGACCGACGAGGGGGCCCGTGACGATGCTGGCATCCCGCCCCTGAGCCTCCAGCTACGGGCACTGGCGACACTGACGCTTGGTCTGCTTATGTAGTTTCTTTTTCTATTCAGGACAACTAGGGAGCTTGGCGACGTAGCCCTCCTAAATATGGTTTACACCGAGGATGCATGACCACTGCTTGGGAGTGGCATTTCAGCGCGTCGTGGAATGGGCCGCCTGGCATGAGTTTACCGTGCTTCTACGTGCAGATGACCATTTTGTTCATATCAAGATTGCCCGAGTGCCCACAAGGTATGTTTGATGACAGTGCTCCAGAGATCACACCTTGTTAGCCCACAAGGACTGCTTGTACTTCGAGTTGGGGAACCGTTCTGCAGATGAGCGGGCTGGGCAGAGCTGCGATGGCCGCGGCAGCCTCAAACCTCCAAGCTGAAATATAATAACCATAGTATTATCAGTAAGAATTACTACAGTTGTTGTAGTTGTAGTATAGTATTCATAGTAGAAATAAATATGTTACTAGCATTAAAAAGTATATTGTATATGTGTATTAATTTCTGAATACTCATGATGATAATACTGATAACTCTAATAATGCTTGATCTTAGTTTTCGCAAAATCGGCTTGAGGATCTTCACACGCAGCAGACCACAGAGCCATAGTCGATGCCCCAGAAATCTGTCCCGAGATGTAGCCACTGCACAACAACCTCTGTAGTAAGATCTGGCATTTCGAATCTACAACACTCTCTGCCACACGGCAACCGTGCTAAGTTGATGCCCTGATGCCACTGCAGCCACTGCAGATGCAGGGTACATCCCACAACGTTCAACCTCAATGGTTCAAGTATATCAGGAAGGCCAAAAAGCACCCAATCGAAGCGTGTGGCATCTATGACTGCCCGACTTCAGACAGACACGAAAGTCAGTGTAGTGGCTGAGCATGTGTCGAAGCTACACCCACGAAAGCTGAGCAGCCGTGTGGTTTCGATCACTTCAGAGACTTCAGGCAAGGTTTGCGGGTAGCTGAAACTCCTCATCACGGCTTGCATATGCGGCGCAAATCTCCTTGCGACAGGACAATGGTTGAACCTGACACTGTGATTTTTGCATCAAGTCAATCGACACACATGGTTGTGAATTCCCCCCCTTAGCATGGGCCATGGGCCATAAGCTTTCGTCGAAATCCAGGCCGACTCGGCTGAATCCAGGGCCTAGCTTATTTTGACAAGCTTGTGTTACCTCCATGTCGCTATGTCCGGTCATTTGCATGCGAGATTTCCAGAAAAGAGAACGGAATAGCTTGGGACATTCCGTGCCAACTAAGGTGCTTACGAGGCACCGGGCCGAGATTTCCATGGTGCTGATGGGTTTGACTTGGCGTAAGAGCAGCAGTGGCCAGCGTTACTACTCTTAGTGCATCTACACAGTTAAGTTTTATTCGTATTCCTGCAACACCAACATTACTTATTGGTATTCTGATCATTATGATTATGCTTATTCTTATAGTAGCAGTAGTAGTTGTTGTTGCTGT